ACAGTATTTAACATTAAAATGCAAAAATAGCTATAAAAACAATTAATACACCCGTAATGTGCTGGCTGGCATCTCCACTCGTCCCTGCTCCCTCCCGTCACCTCCTCCCCGCTCTATCCCTCCGCCTCCTCCACATCGTCACTACTGTTGTATTACAATAATATTCTATCCTAATTGACTTGAATAAATACTACGATACCATATTTCTGAATATTTTCATTAAAATCCATCCAAATCATTTACCTTGCCATCGTCTGCAGCACCAAACAGATTCTCCCAGTCCTCTCCTTGAAGAGGGCTAGAGGGTACGTGTTTTTCGAATCGTTTTCAATTAAAAAAATGTTACATCACACGTATATTTTACCTAAACTGCGCCTGAATGAATATATTCTTGGAAATAAATAGTAATTTTGCTGAAACGTGATGTATTTCAATGTAAAATAGGATAAAATACATGACGAAAACAAAAGACTTCACCTAACCTTCCAATGTTCAAGAGATGTTACTCGTTTTTTAATAGTTTTCGGTTAAAATACTGTTATATTACAATGATATTATATTCATACTGTGCTTAATATACTACATTCACAGAAATGAAATATTTTTCCTGAAATGACGTAAGTATTACAGTGGAATGTGGGACAAAATCGTGACGAAAACAATGACTTTCGCTTTCTTTCGTTCAAAAGATGTTACCGTAATCGCTTTTCGAATGGTTTTCAGTTAAAAAAATGTTGCATCACAAGTGAATTAGGATAGAATATTATTGTAATACAACAGTTTTTTAACTGAAAACCATTCGAAAAGCGATTACGGTGACATCTTTTGAGCGAAAGAAAGCGAGTCATTGCTTTCGTCACTTTCCACTGTAATACGTACGTCATTTCAGCAAAATATTACATTTCCATATTCTCAGAAATAAATAGTAGTTTTGCTGAAATGTGATGTATTTCAATGTAAATTAGGATAAAATACATGACGAAAACAAGAGACTTTACCTAACCTTCTGATGTTCAAGAGATGTTACTCGTTTTTTTTAGTAGTTTTCGGTTAAAATACTCTTATATTAGTGATATTCTATTCATACTGTGCTTGATATAATACATTCACGGAAATGTAATATTTTTGCAACTACAATGCTGATGTCAACACAAGTGTGGTTACAGCGAGACTGACTGAGTGAGGGAGAGCTATGCATGTGTGTGTGTGAGGTTGCGGGAGCGGGCGGTGTCCCGTGTTCGGTGCCGTGCGCGAGTTGAATGGCGCGCGATTTGAATGTACTTCAATTACTTCAATGTACAGAATATTCCTCCGGGTGGCCAATCCGTGTATTTGCAAATCCGTGTATTATAAACCCGCGTATGTTAAGTGCCGACTGTATATGTTTTAAGTAACTTTATTTAATGTTAATAAATGGAACAATCGAAATAGCTAACCACTAATGGCAAAGAAAAAAAAGAGATGAATTGGGAACGCCAACATATACGTGTGCATTTAAGGATACCGCGCCATTTATCTTTTTAAGATTATGTACAAAAGATTCATTATTGTTTATTACTGAATATGTATTTGCTTGAATTAATCTTTATATATGCGAAATGAACAATACAATTCATTAATAATACGTAGAATATTAAAAACACAAGAGGATAAGAGACGGCATTGTTGTCAGTGTTTACACCCAATGTATACGTGCGCGCTCAAGGAAACATACAGTCATTTATCTTAAGAATATGTACAAAACATTCATTATTCTTTATTACCGAATATGTGTTTTATTGAATTAATGTTTATATATGTGAAATGAACAATGCATTTCATTTATAATACGTACAATATTAAAACACACATGAAGAGACAAGACGGCATTGTTTTTGTGAGTGACGATGGTTCTACATAAGAAACTGAAGAAAATAAGACCCTGGTTGTTGCTATAGTGAACTTAATTTAAAAAAATTTAATACCTGTATGTATGTTTTAAGTAATGTTATTTAATGTTAATAAATGGAACACTAGAAGTAGCTAACCACTAATGGTAAAGAAGTAAGGTGAGATGATAGGGAACGCCAACGTATGAACAGTAAGTGCGTACATGTGAAAATATATCGTCATTTCTCAACATATGAATATGAAACCAACGCTTATTTACTGTTCATATATGTTTTAAATAATATTTATGAATGTAAAACTAAAATTCTACTCACCAATGATGGTAAAGTCTAGAACATAAGGACAGCCAATGAATATTGTGAGAGTTTTTCCTCAGATATTGGGTTTAACTCTGGCTGAAGCTGTAGCTTTCCATGAATCTGTTGCTGAAACTGTTACTGAACCTGAAGTTGATATTGAAGCTGCTTATGATGCTGAATTTGATGGTGTAGCTGAAGTTGATGGTTTAGGCCTTTGAATAATATAGCTCTCAAAAGAACCTTGCACAGCTGCTTTCTTTTCTCATTATACACCTTTATGTAGAGGTCATTTGCATTGATTTAAATTTTAATGCTTTGTTCTTTTTATGGATCCACTTCAGAAAATATGTTCATTGCTTGCTCTATATAAAATCCACAGACCTCTCACCTTTTTCATATCGTTTTAACACATCTAGTTTCTCGGCTAAGCTTATACACTTTCTATTACTTTCGAAACAACACTACCATCACTTGCTCTCTTGCCCATATTGGATAGGGATACAAAAATGCTGTAAGAAACTTGGGAAAGTTTTCTCCAGTTCCTGTTCCAGATGCGTGAAAACAAAAGGCCCGCCAAGCTCCGACTGTTGTTTACCACTCATTAGCAATGCAGCTTCTTTGCGCAAGTTGCTCATCATTTTTTTACAGTGTTTTTTTTTTTTATATATACCCCATAATACATACTATCCGCATTTAGTTATTATTTATATGAAAATGTAATTTTATTTTATTTTTATCATATTTTGATCGTAAATACAAATGAAATAATGACGTAAATTGAATTGGGTCCTAAATTAACTAGGGTTTTAAATATGAAAAGTTGTTGGTCGAATCGTTGTTATCGGAGCATGTGATTAAATTACTTGAGGAAGGCCTAAAACGTAGTTTCTGGAAAACACAATCAGGGCAATAAAGGCAGAATTTGTATCATTTGGAGGTTATGTATTTGCATTTGGTCAATTTGAATTTGGTGCAATATTTCCATTCTATATTACTCGCGAAATACAAGATCTTACTGTACTGTATATATATTTCAACCCTCAATTTTTATTTTTATTTGTATTGAAAATTATGAGCACAAGTACAGTACAGTGGACCCTCGGTTAACGAACACAATTTGTTCCAGAAAGTCGTTCGTTAACGGAAATCATTGTTTCAATGGGATTTTGGGTAATTGGTTCCAGCTCACCGAAAATTACATACAAAGTAAAAATAAATGCAGTAAAGTACACTTACTTTGAGGTGTGTATGTAGAAGGCTCCTGGTTGATGATGATGATGATGGGAATTAGAAGTGGGGGTGGTGGAGAAGGGAGAAGAGAAGGAAGTGGGGGTGGAAGATAAATCACCCCATGCTTCATGCCGTCATTTCACCCATAAAATTTTAAGTTCACTCGGTGTAATTCAAAATTATTTTCTTTAAATCAACACTGCACTGCACTACAGTATATATTGTCAATATGTAAAATAAATTTCAGAATGACCAATAATTGTACTGTAAAAACGTAATACGTAATAGTTTATGTTCAAGAGAGTCTCAAGCAAGATGTTACCTCTACTGACCAGAGATACAAACTGATGCCTGTTTGGTGAGTTGAGTGGCTGTTTGGCGCACTAAAAACTAGTTTCCTGTACTTCAATTATGTTAAATAATTGTTAAAATGACTAAAAATTTTAATATAAAACTTGGAAAATTATTGAATAGTACAACCTTCTTGATATTTACTCAAATGTTAACGAATTTAAGCCCTAGAACCGATTACTGTATTGGCGGACTAATATTCCAGCTGGTGAGCAAGCGAAAACATGTTGACAGGAATTCGTTAACTGAATTTTTTTCGTTGACCGAATTGAATATTCTTATGGAAGGTAATTCGTTAACCGAGGGACCACTGTATATGTATTTTTGGTTGTAAGAAATATAAAAGTAGAAGATTGGAAGAACATGATGAGAAAAGGGTATAAATGACAAGTTTAATGAGGTAGTTGCTGCAAACTGTTGTAATTAAAAGTTATATCGCTGATCACACAAACAGACAAAAATACTTGTTGCGTTACTGAAGCTCTGATGATAGAGAAAAGAGTTAAAGAGAGAAGTGATACAACATTACTATGATCCTTTGTGATAACTGGTGGGGATGTTTTAACCTTTAAACAGTAGTCTTTAACACAGTGTCTGGTACTAGCTACAGCATCTGAGGCTAAACAGGGTAGGTGGTGAGGACGGGAGATACAGGTAGAGCCTTGAGCAAGATGTCTCGTTTGAATATACAGGGTATTAAGATATATAGTACAGTAGTGACTTGTGACATGACAAGTTGAGAAAAATTACTGTATGTCATAGTACTGTACAACAAACGGTAAGAACTTTATTGATTGAGCAGTGTGTGTGTGTGTGTGTGTATGTGTTTGTTTTGGAGGTGAGAAGATTCCACACTGTAGAATCATAACCATCATTTTATGTCCAGTCTCCACACTTGCCTGTATTAGCCACGGTGAACTGTTGGCAGGAGTCCCAGTTGCCATGAGCAAATCTGAAGCAAGTTTTACAGCAGGACACCAACCCACTTTTATAGAGTGTGAACTGGGCAAAAAATGAATAAAGTTAGGGCACGGCTTGAATAGATTACCAAGTTTGGGTTGGTCGGTGGTGTTGAAGTTCAGGAGACTAAAGAATCAACCTTTCTCAGTGTCTAAAATCCTTAATGATGGTAAGATCTTCAGGATTAATTCCTTTAGTCTTCACACTAGTAATAAGATATACATTGTATAAGGAAATAAATTTTCTCTTAATATTTTTTATTGTTTACAGTTGCAGAAGAATGGGTTGCTGACTTTATGCTGTGATAGAATACTACACGAAGTATCATTTGACAAGTACTGGTGCGCCCGGCTGGTGCTGGACTGCCTCCTCACCTTCAATGATCCCTCCACAGACAGAATGGCAGTTGCTATCTGCTCTATATTAGCAGCTAAGATATCCACGTCCCAGACTGCCCTTCTAGGAGCAAAGGTAAACATTTATACTTCAATCAGTATTTCTGTACAAACATTTTGGCTGTACAGTACAGGTAGTCCCCGACTTACGACTGACTCAACTTACGTCAATCCTCACTTACGACCTGCTTTGACCGTACAACCATCCGCACATACGACCGCCGCAGTCGTGACCAAAAATTTTTTCAAATGACGCGTGCATTTTCTATACCGAAACGTTTCTGTTCTGAGCGAGAACGTGGCTGGCTTGGGTCACCGCGTGGTTACACTCACTCAGTACAGCGCTTAGTTGGTGTTTGGCTATCGTATCCTATACTGATCGCGCTGTGTACTTACGTTATTATTGTATTTAATTGACTTTATAATGACTGGAAAGCGTACAAGTGAGAGTGCTGGTGGTGCTCAGAAGAAAAGGAGACAGGCCATTACTTTTGAGATGAAAATGAAGATAATATGCAGTATGAGAATGGTAAAACAGTAGCAACAATCTCACGCTACCTAGGTTTCTCGCACTCGACCATATCACTATTCTGAAGGACAAGGAATGTATTCGTGATGTAGTGAAAAGAACAACACTTATAAAGGGAATTATGTAGTGAAAAGAACAACACTTATAAAGGGAATTATAATTTCGAAGAAAGGACAAGGTCCTATTCACGATATGGAAAAATTATTGATGATATGGATAGAAGACCAAACACAGAAGCGTGTACCCTTAAGCCTTCTAACCTTACAAGCTAAAGTAAGAAGCCTGTTCCAGAGCCTGAAGGAGCAGGCAGGAGATGAATGTGAGCAAATGTTTACAGCAAGTCATGGGCGGTTTAATAGATTTAAAAACCGCTACAGTTTACACAATGTTAAGGTGAGTGGAGAGGCAGCTAGTGTCGATGTTGGTGCTGCCGAAGCTTTTAAGGAGGAGTTAGATGATGTGATTGTGGAAGGGAATTATTTTCCTGAGCAAATATTTAATGTGGATGAGACTGGATTATTGTGGAAGCGCATGCCTGAGCGGACATAAATCCACAAAGAGGCGAAAACAATGCCAGGATTCAAGGCATTCAAGGACAGAATTACACTTCTGTTGGGTGGGAATGTAGCTGGTTTCAAGCTAAAGCCCTTCATGATCTATCATTCAGAGAACCCCAGGGCTTTTAAACATGTCAGCAAGCACACACTGCCAGTGTTTTATCGCAGTAACAAGAAAGCCTGGATGACCATTGTACTGTTTGAGGATTGGTTCATGACTTGTTTCATTCCACGAGCCAAGGAGTATTGTCTGCAACAACAGATTCCATTCAAGATTTTACTGATTTTGGATAATGCTCCGGGACACCCACCACACCTGGATGACATGCACCCTGATGTTAAGATAGTGTACATTCCACCTAACACTACCTCTATCATCCAACCCATGGAGCAAGGTGCTATTGCTGCATTTAAAGCGTATTATTTACGTACGACCTTCGCTCAGGCTGTTGCTGCTACTGAAGGTGAGAAAACGCTCAGAGAGTTTTGGAAGGAGTACAACGTTTTTCATGTATAAAGAACATTAGTGCAGCATGGGATTAGGTTACAAAACATTGCATGAATGGAATATGGAAGAAAATCCTGAAAAGATATGTGAACAGTTTTAGAGGATTTAATGAAAATGAAGTTATTTGGGATATTAGTAACAAGATAGTGGAGTTAGGTAAACAGCTTCAGTTAGAAATTGATAATGAAGATGTTGAACAGTTTGTTGAAAGTGTAGCAGAAGAGCTAAGAAATGAAGATCTCATCGAACTGGAAGCACACAAAGATGCAGAGGAAGAAACCAGTCTAAATGTAGAAGAACCTGCACCCCCCAAAAAGTTTTCAGTGAAGCAAATGGCAGAGGCATTTGCTACAATTAATAAAGGAATGCAAATGTTTGATGGCATGGATCAAAATTATGAGCGTTATGCCAAACTTGACAGAATGATCCAAGATGCACTTGCTTACTACAGAGAAATTTATAATGAAAAGAAAAAGCAAACTGTGCAGTCTAAATTGGACATCTATTTTAAGAAGTCCCCCAGTGCTGTCTCCTCACGCCCCACCAGTGCTGCCTCTTCACGCCCCACCAGTGCTGCCTCTTCACTCCCTCAAGATGAACCAATACCTTCAACCAGCAAGTTTCAACAGTACATAAACCTGTCTGAAGAAAGCGACATTGATGACCCACCCAGCCCTCTCTCCTCCTCTGCTTCATCCAATTAATATAGTCTCCATGTATCCTGTAAATAGAAAATTATGGGGGCCCTGTGTGCATTCAGCTGACTACATTAAAGGTAAGTGCTCAGTCACACTGTATCCATTCCTCATTATTTATTACTTTTACTGTACTGTATTTCATTGTAGATTTTATGGGTTTTTATTTTTGTTTATTTTTCTTTATTTATTTATTTATTTATTTATTTTTTTAATCTATGTCGGACTTACGACCATTCCCACTTACGACCTGGATTTGGGTCCCTAACCCCGTCGTAAGTCGGGGAGCACCTATATAGTATATTTAGTGATATTCCTGTTCGCCAGAACAGTTGGTGCAGAGCACTTCCGTGGATGACAGATTTCCAGGTAACCAGACGACTTTCTCAAACCCAGAAAAATCCCCCATCCCCGGAAATAATTCCTGTTACTGGAAAAAGTTTCCAAGAATCTAAACTACGCATCTTGCACAGACAAACACTAGCCCACATCCTCAGAATGTTTCTGTGTGCTGGGAAGTTTTCCAAGAGTCTAAAATACCAGTCTGTAAAAGCAGTTCTTATTAAGTTAGTAACTCCATTTGTTAACTAAAATAATCCTGAATAGTTTATTCAGAAGTTTGGTAAATAAATATATTTAAAAACTAAAAGTCTATATCATATAGGTGTGGATGAAGGTGTGTCTTACAGTGAAGACTGGTATTAGCAGGTCGCCTGACCTGAAGATGTCTTGAATGAAGATAAAGCTAAGATATTTTTGAGGTGTGAGGCTGCTAGAAAAAAGGGTATAAACTTTTATTCACATCATCTGCTCTAATTGTGTTAGAGAAGTGAATTTTGTACTACAGTGAACCCTCACTTTACGCGGTCAATTGAACCTACGGCGGCCCGCGTAAAGTGAGAAACGCGTAAAGTGAACAACATAACATATGGGATTAATTGAAATAGAGACCGGGCCGACCCCCAAACTCCACTTTTTCAGACACAATATCTACGTTGTAGTAAATATAACTTCTTAATTTTATGATGGTATGCACACACAATTAATAATTAAGAGAAATATCAATAATATTAGGCTTTTTAACACTTACATTAGTAGAAAAGATGGCTGGGCACACGGGGATGGGGGGTTGGTTCCGAGGCAGAGGACAGATTATTGGCCCTCACCTGTATCAATTGTATCACTCTCCACCACAGAGGCTTGCAGGGCCTCTTTGTCAAACCCCTCAAAGTCCATATAAGTCCATATCCTCACTATCACTGACTTGGGCCGGCTGTGGTGGGTGGCGGGTGAAGAACTCGGTAATGTTTTGATGACTGGGCGACCTTGTGCGCTCCCTGCTCGCGCCGCTCTCCGCGTAAAAGGGTACACACACCGTGGAAAGTGAGCATTCCGGTTTCGGCAGGGTACCGCTTAAATGTGGAAACGCGTAAAGTGGGACCGCGTAAAGCGAGGGTTGACTGTATTGCATATATGGAGATGCATTCCTGAAGAAGTTATTTTTTACCAATGCGATGTATACTGTACAGGAATGATTTATTTTTTTATTTTTTTATTTTTTTAGCAGGGAATAGCCCACCTGGGCACAGGTCATCGACCCACAACAGGGCTTAAGGGGGGGAATAAGAGTAAAATGAAATTAAAAATAGAAAAGAAAAGGGTTATATTAATCTACACCATGAAGATGCCGGAAAACCAGCTTTTTGAAACGAGGCAAATTGTATGAGTATGGAAACACAGAAGAAGGCAGAGCATTCCACAGTTTGGCTGTGTGAAGAAAGAAGGATGTACTATAACGGGTTATTCTCGTGTGACCGACATCCACAGAGAAACAGTGGGCACCGCGGGCAAGACGAGTGTTACAAGCCCATGGCCTTGCTGACAGTACACAGGATGCCAAACATTGCCCGTTAAAGTACCTGTAACAACTAAAGGAGGAGAGTTAATAAGACGAAATGCCTTTGATTCCACCCTACCTAACAGTTGGACAGAAGAAGAGCCACCCCAGATATGAGAGCAGTACTCCAAGTTAGGACGAATGAATCCCTTATAAATTTGAAGCAACTGCTCAGGAGTGAAGTAGCTATAGCATCTGTACAGCATTCCCAGCTTTTGGGAGGCAGCTTTAGCAATGTTGAGGATATGTTGCTTCCATGACATATTAGAGGAAATGGTGAGACTAGCATGTCCATTTTAGAACTTGGCAGAATGATTGTGTCCTGAAATGTGATTGGTGTGAGATCATCCAATTTGGAAAGTGTAATTGGTAAATACTGTGTTTTATTACTATTGAATTTAACCAAGTTCCTCCCTCCCCATTCACAGATGCTGCACAGATCCACATTGATAGATGAAATGATATCAACTCTAGAAACAGATCTAGTTTGATGGTGAGGGGAAAGGGGAAAATGTGAAGACGAGTGAAGAGTAGAATCATCAGCGTAAGAATGGATAGAATTAGTCGTAGTGTGAAGTAAATCATTGAGAAAAAGAAGGAAGAGAGTAGGTGAAAGAACAGAACCCTGTGGGACACCACTAATGGTAGAGAAAGAGTGAGAGATCAATCCCTTGACAACTACCATGGATCAGTTCTCAAGGAAGCAAGAAATTAGAGAACAAAGTGGGGGAGAGAAACCATAAGAAGAAAGTTTAGAAAGCAAAGACTTGTGCCATATCCTTTTAAATGCTTTGGAGATGTTGAGGGCCACGACGAAAGTTTCCCCATAATCCCTAAGGGAGGATGACCAAAGATGGGTGCAGTAGGAGAGCAGATCATCAGTAGATCTCGCCTGGCAAAAGCTGTACTGGTGATCCGAC